AATCTCAGGGTTGTGAGTTCGAGCCCTAGGTTTGGGTGTAGAGATTAGCTAAAAGTAACATCTTTAGGCAGCTCTTTCTGCCCACGGGGTCCTGTCCCTATGCTGTGACAAAATCACCTTTTAGCACCGAAAAAAAGTAAAAGTAAAAACAAAAATAAAATCCTAAAAAAAAAAAAGTTGTTTACCTGAAATTTGAATCTCACAGGGCTTCCTGCATTTTTATTTGCTAAATCTGGCACCCTTATTCACAAGGTACATCCCTTGAGGCCACTCTGTTGGTCAGATGAATTTGATGACAGCTCCTCGTGGGGAAGGACACCCCGAGGTCCGGAAGCGGTTGGTGTTCCGACAGGCCACAGAGACCATCACTCAGCAAGGCTGGGACTAGAGACAAATGCAGTCACTCTTGACCTTTCTCTTAATTTCACTACAGAGGCGTCCTTCTCTGTCTCCGTCACCCCCGTGTGTCCGTCACCCATCTCTTTCCCTCTCATCGCTGATGGCATACTGTCAGGTTCTTCAGTTGATGGGGACAGCTCACCCTCCCTTTCCCTCCCCTGCCCCCTTGGGGGATCGGGTCCCCCAGCTCAGCCATGTTTAGTATAATGACGTCCTATCTTCGTCTCTGAGGTTCCAGGTATCTAGAGGTGTTTTCCAGAAAGAATAGGGCCATACAGTGGTCAATCAGAAGAGAGGCAGATTCGATAGCCTGCTCTTCTCTGGTGGCTCTGGGCGGTGGCGATGGGCATGAGGGGGCGCGGTGGAGCCACAGGGTCTAAGAAGGACAGAGAAGACCTTTCCTGAGACCTTGAGGTTGGAGGTAGAGGTGCCCAGCCCCGGTCCTGGACCTGTCTTCCCAACCAGGCCCGAAAGCCAAGCATGAGGAGGTCTTCTGGGCGGTCCCGAGAGGTCTGTCGTGGGCCCCCAGAAGGGGAAAGACAGGAAGTGCCTGGTAGCAGTTGGGGTGGGGGGCACGTTAAGCTCTGGGGGTTCTGCTGGGCCTCACACAGCAGAGAGGCCCTGGGAGGAAGGGATCCCACAGATAGGAGCGTGGGTGTGGGGGGCATCTGGGCTGGTCTGGGGACCCCGATGTCAGAGCCACGTAAGCAGAGCTCCGGGACCATGGCAAGAGCAGGCCCTCCTTCTGCGGTGGGTAGACAGGGCATCACCAGGGTGATGGCAGGGGGGCATGAGTCACTAAGGACCTCTTGCTTGTTGAGGCTGGTTTTTGTGACAGGTGATGAGCGAGCGGTGAGCGTGGGGCTTTGACTCTTACTTCTGGACCTGGGTCTTTTCCTCAGAGTGCTCTGGAAAGAGGTAGGCTGGTTATATACGTGGAGGGGGTAATTTATGAGGGCAGGACGTAGAGGGTGTGTCTGGTGATCAGTGGCTTGTCTCCGTCAACCCGGCAAGGTCTGAATACGGCTGCCTCCAGCCCTGCCTGCCTCTCCAGGCTCACTGAGATCAGGGTATTTCCTCCCAAGGCCAATGGGACACCCACTGGCTCCCCTCGCTTTGGCAGACCCTGACCTGAGGACACAGTCTGATTGATGGTCAGTAGGATTGTGAAGGCTCGGATCTGTCATGTGGAAAATCAACACACCCTATAATTGCGTGACACAGGGGGACAGCCCGGGGTTGCCTTTCTGGTCTCGACGACTTGCTGGGAGGCTCTAAGCAGGTTCTTCAGCCTCTCTGAGCCTCTGTTCACTTCTCTATAAAATGGGGCTAATACTGGGCAGGCCTGTCATGTGGATTAAAGGACACTCGTACCCGAGGCCCAGCACACAGTAGACGCCACAAAGGGTAGCACTCCCAGCCTGCAGACGCTGAAAGGACCCTCAGAGGTGGGCTTGCCCAAGCCTCCGGAGCACAAAGGATGAATGCCTGTCCCAGCCAGGCAGAGCCAGGGCCGGGATTAGAGCTGGACCCCTGAGGTTTTAGCCCTGTGCTCTCCCCGCCCCTCTCTGGGGCCTTCATCAATCACTGTAATCCCTTGTGATGTCTGACAGGCAGAGACAGGGCACGGAGCCGCACAGCCCTGCTGGCTTTGTCCTGCTGGTGTGACAAGGAGGCGGGGCAGGGATTATAAATCGGTGAGAACACCCCATGTTCCCCAGTGACGCCTGCTGCAACAGGCGAGCTGCGCACGGAGGGGGCGTCCCAGATTTCCCGCCCCCCCCCCCCCCCCCCGCCCCGGCTCCTGTGCCTGCGGACCATCTCCGGGGTGATCGGCTCTGTGGTGGGAACACTGGGCCCCTGCTGAGGGTGCTGGTAAGTGGGACCCCTGCTCCTGGCTCCCAGCCTTCAGGAACAGGAGCTACCCTGCCTGGGGCTTCTGGATGTAGGGAGAAAAAGTAGCAGGGGCCGGGGGCGGGGGGGGGGGGGCGGCGGGGCGGCAAGGCACGTATGGAGGCCATGGGCTTTTTAAGGGGCACAGCGGCTGAGCCAGGGACAGGGCGGGAGGGGTCTCGCTGCTCCCCAGGCCCGCTCCCTTCTCCCTCAGACTACCCCTGCACTCCTGATGCCTTCCGCGTGCGTGCACGGTCCAGTCTGAGGCCATCTGAGTAAATGTGAAGGTTCCCTGAGAACCCGCTTTGGTTAAGGGCCTTTTGCTCCAGGGCCAAGGGCCGAACCCGTCTAGAAAGCTGGAGCCACGGTATCTTTCACTCAAAGGACCAGAAAGTCTCCTTCTGGGCAGATAAGACCAACTGTGTCAGAAGTGGTCGGTGGCCACCCGTCCCCAGGCTCCACAGAGCCCTGCCCACCCTTCCCACCGCCTGGGTGTCCTTGGAGGGCAGTGAGGCCAGATCTGGAGGTGTGGAAGGGCTGTTCCGCGGGTACTTCTGTCTGAGACGGAAAGGCGGAGGAGAGGGCACCAATGTTTACGGCCCCCAGGTCTGCTTTGGGACTCACCTGACCCCAGGTCCGGCCACAAGAGGCAAGACGCGCCGTCACCCTGGCCCGCCCCTATCGGAGAGGAGGACCGTACCCCTGACCCTCGCTCCTCCCCGATAGGTGCCGCAGGACCCTTTCCGGCCACCAAGGCCACTTCTGAAGCTGGGGCACCCGGGGACGCACCAGCATCCAGGATGTCCACACAGAGCACGTACCCGCTGGAGCCCGAGGCCTCGCAGCTGCAGCCGGAGACCCCAAAGGCCCCAGGCCACCAGCGGCGTCATACGCTTCCCGCCAACGAGTTCCGCTGCCTCACCCCAGAGGATGCTGCCAGCGTGTTTGAGATTGAGCGTGAAGGTGAGTGGGCCCCGCACAGGGTCTGGACGCTGACGCATCTGTCCATGGGGAGGAGCCCCTGTCCTCGGTGGCTGGGCCCCCAGAGTATCAGATCGAGTGTGTGTGTGTGTGTGTGTGTGTGCGTGCGCGTGGGGACAGGAAGGGCCCCGAATCCCGCTTTCCTATGGGGGAGGGGTGGGGAGTGGGAAAGCACACCTGGGCTTCTGAGCAGATGCTCGGTGGCCAGTGGCATGTGGCATGGTGACCGCTGAGTCACACGCCGTACCTCCCCTTGCAGCCTTCATCTCTGTCCTGGGCATCTGCCCCTTGTATCTGGAGGAGATCAAGCACTTTCTGACCCTGTGTCCAGAGCTGTCCATGGGCTGGTTCCAGGAGGGCCGCCTTGTGGCTTTCATCATCGGCTCGCTTTGGGACCAGGAGAGACTCACTCAGGTGAGGGCAGGCGCCCCTGGGCTGTGATTTCTTCCTCTGGGCCTCTCCCGGGTCAAAAGGACCCACCTCTTTGGAGGGTACGGCTCCCAGTTTGGGGCCCTCCTTGGGTAGGAATGGAGCCCCGATTGGAGGCACTCGAGACGCTTGCTCGGCCAGTGGGGCTAGCTGGGGAGGCAGGTATCGACGGAGATGCCCTGGACTCACATCCCTTGCCCGTTCCCAGGAGTCGATGACGCTGCACCGGCCCGGGGGCCACACCGCCCACCTACGCGCCCTGGCCGTGCACCACACTTTCCGGGGACAAGGCAAGGGCTCCATCCTGATGTGGCGGTTCCTGCACCACCTGGGGAGGCAGCCAGCAGTGCGCCGGGCCGTGCTCATGTGTGAGGATGCGCTGGTGCCCTTCTACCAGAAATTCGGCTTCCGCTTCGTGGGCCCATGCGCCATCACCCTGGGCTCGCTCACCTTCAATGAGCTGCAGCGCTCCATGTGGGACCACGCCTCCCGGCGTAGGAACAGCGGCTCCTGAAGTCACTGCTCCCCGCACCACCCCCCCCCAACCTGGGGGCTCCTACCCGGCCCCAATTTCCCGTTCTCTCCCCAACCCAGCTGCCCAGCAAGCTTCGGTGATACACTTCCCAGCCTATCCTTGTGAGGCTCTCTGGACCACCCCTCTCCCCGGCCCACATTCCAAATTGTGCCAGAGGTGGGGAGTGGTTGATAACCGGGGACAGCAGGAGGTGTCCTGCGACCCACCTCAGCGACTCCTTCATTCTCGGGAATCAATGGGGGGCCCTCTGGGCAGGCAGCATCGTTGTCCCCGTGGGTTGGGCCTGGTGCTCCGAAGGCCCTTACCCTCCCCAGCCTCACGGAGCCCCTTTCTCATCCTCTGCCCCAGAATGAGGGGTAGCTGGGATCAGGAAAGAGCAGAGGCTACCTCCTAGCTCAGCCCCTGTGCCCCCCACCCCTGGCCTCGGACCCCCTAGGTCTTCTCGTCACTTCCCACATGGCTCCTTGATGTGGGGTCAGGGCTGTGGGTGGGGCCCAGTGAACGGACGAGGGCTGTGCCTTCCCCCCACCGTCTCTGCCAGGGGCAGCCAGACCCTCACCGCCCCTGAGCTCCAGGCATTTAACCCGGCCCTCTCAAGGGACCCCCTGGGACCCCAAACCTGGTTTCTGGCCCAAGCAAATCCCCCACAAGTTTTCCGCCATCCCTTTAGGCCGAGGCCCCGCCCCTGAGCTCGTGGCTGGCCCCGCACCGCAAAATAAAGTTCCAGCTTTCACTCTGCTAGAGCCCCTCGGGTCAAAAGATGTTACTTCTAAAGAGTATCATTTAATACATTTGAGACATCATCCATATAAAGTTAGCGTTACTTTTAAAAATTAGAACCTTAATATAAACCAGTAAAAAAATGGGTCTGACCGAGCCTTGGGCAACCCCTGGGGAACCCACCCCAACTCGGGCAGGAGTGAGTAGCCCAGCCCCCGCCCCAACTCGGGCAGGAGTGAGGCAGAGTGGAGTAGGGCCGGCCTTCTCGAAGCCAGCCCCATGAGGCAGAACACTGACTCCAAGAGAGGGCCAAGAGGGACACAGAGGGGACAGCCTCTGTCTGCTCGGAACAAGCAAAGGCTCTCAGCTTCCCAGCCCAGCTGTGCCTCCTTGCTCTTTTCTGCCCCAGACTGTGGCAAAGCCCTTCCCACAAGTCTGCTCCAGGAGCGTTAAGGGCAGGCTCACCAGGCCACCGATGAACGAGGGGCCCGGGCTCTTAGGGCAGAGAGGGGAGGAGAAACAGGAAGGAGGGCTGGCGTGGTGAGGCAGGTGTGGGAACCCTGGCCACGTCCCAGTAAGGGCACGCTCACAGCAATGGGGTGTGTGTGTGTGTGTGTGTGTGTGTGGCTGGGGGGCACCAGCAGAGGCTGAGGGGGGTGATGGGCGAAGCCTGAGGACCTTGGGAAAGAAAGAAGCCCACCCCTAGGCAGTGGTCCCGCCAGCAGGGGAGCGACGGGCGGGCATGGCCCTGAGCCCCTGAGCTGCAGAGAAGCCCGTGCGCGGAGTGTCCCCCAGCCTGAGGAAGGGGGCGCCTCGCTGCCCCGGGGGAACCCGCCTTTGTGACCGTCTCGCCCGGTGGAGGGAGGGCCCAGGCCCCTGGCAGTGGGTCTCCGGAGCGCGGGGGAGGGGGCGCTCTGCAGCCCGGCCCGGGCCCCGGGCCCTCAGCGCCCCGTGAGCAGCAGCGATGCCCCGCCCAGGGGGCAGGGGGTCAGTGCAGCACCTGGTCCAGCTCGTACTTCTCGCAGAAGCGGCTGGTGAAGGGGAAGCAGGTGAGGTACTCGATCCAGGGCCAGTGCACGGGGTAGACGTAGAGCCAGATGACCAGAGAGGCAAAGAGGCCGGCGAAGACCAGCAGCGAGACCAGGATGAGGGCCCTCTTGCGGTACTTGTCGCTGGTGCCGAAGGTGATGTAGGGCAGGAAGGCGAAGGCCAGCAGCAGGCCGCTGAGGAAGCCGAAGATGTGGGCGATGTTGTCGATCCAGGGCAGGAGGCCGCAGACGAACAGGAAGAGTACGATGGCCGACAGGTTGAGGAAGGCCTTCCAGGGCCGCTCCAGCAGCTGCCAGCTCTGGAAGAGCTCCACGAAGAGGCAGGCGAGGAGGCCGAACTGCGACCCGGCCGGGCCCACCTGGGGCGGGTGGGGGAGGGGAGAAGGGTCATTTCCAGGCGCCCCAGGGGGAAGCCTGGAGCCCCCGGGGACCCGGGTCAGCCTGTGGGTGGGCTCCTCCCAGGCGCGGGGACCCTGAACCTGGGGTGGGGGCGGGGAGGGGGTCAGGGAGCAGCCGCAGCAGCTGGGCCACAGCTGGGCTTGCGGCACCCACGTTTTCTGCAAACGCTGGGGACCTACTACGGGCCCAGTGGGTGGTCAGTGCAATCAACGCGACAGACAAGCCCGCTCCAGGCAGCGAATGGCGGGACAGACAGACCCTGAGCGAGCCAACAGCGTTAGACTGAACCGATCAAAAAACTCGCTGTTTCCGTGAGTCTAGAGTGGCTGGGCGTTGGCGATTCCATACAGCTCAACCCACAGATAGGTGACAGGCAGGTAGGCAGGCAGGGTCGCGGTCACAAAGAGAAACGAAGCAGAGGCGAACAAAAGGAGGGACAAGATCTGGGAAAGTCGGAAGGGATGCCTGAGCACGACCCAGGGGCAGTGCTGTTCCCCTGCACCCGGGGATTAGGGGATCGGCCAATAAGCCCACGGCTTAGCTGTCCATCTGCTGTTGAACCTGGCGTGGGAGGGCGCCGTGTGTCCCTGTGGCAGAGCCAGTGGGGGGGGTGGGGGGGGGGAGCAGCAGAGCCGGCCCCCCCCCCCCCCCCCCCCCGGCGGGGGCCCACCCCCCCCCGGAGCAGCAGAGCCGGCCCCGCCCCCTGCCCCACCCCTCCGAGTGCCTACCTCCGCCCGGTAGGGGAGGAAGAGGGCACTGGCGAGGTTGCCGGTGATGCCGCTGAGGATAAAGATGATGGCAATGCGGTGCCAGCCGGCCAGCTTCTCCAGGTCCCGCAGGATGGTCATTTGGAAGACCACAGACACGAAGCAGTGCACCACGCTGGGGAGGGGGGCGCACCAGGCATCAGCCGTCCCGCCTCTGCCTGCGGCTGCCAGCCAGGCACCGCAGGGGCAGCGGGGTCTGGAGGCTCGTGGCGGCTGCGCGCTGGCCCGGGAGCCCTCCTCCAGGGGTCTCTGGGGGGCGGGGGCGGGCAGACATCACAGGGGCCTGGCGGGGAGGGGCGGGCAGCGAGGGGCCTTTTACCCAGCGTGGAGGAACAGAGACAGCCAGAGCCTGTAGAACTGATCTGGGACCTCGGGGTTGAGGAAGGGCAGCAGCCCACACACCTTGTCCAAGCAGTGCACCTGGGGGCAAGCGCGTGGAGGTCAGTGCCCTCGACCCAGCCGGCCCTGACGTGGGGGGGGGGGGGGCAGAGCCGGGTACCTGCTGCCGGAGGGAAGGCACGAGGCCAGCTCCAGCAGGCTGCGGCGCTCACCTCCTTACGCTCAGGGCCCCGCCAGGCCCTGCCTCACCTGGGAGCAGAGTGTTGCCTCTTCGTGGAAATAGCCGTGCATGAATTCACAGTATTCCCGGGTGGTGATCTCACAGCTGGGGGGACAAGGAGGCCAGGGGATGCGTCAGGGCCCTGAGGACTCCTGCCCATTCACCTGCTGCTCAAGGCCTGGCCACAGCAGGCATCGCTGGCAGGAAGGGGGTGCCGCTCTGCGGGGACCACAGCTCCGGGGCAAGCTCCCTTTCATTCTGCTCACGCCACGGGTGACCCCAGAGTCACCAGGTAGGGAGGACACTGGCCCGGGGTGGTGGGTGGTGCCAGAGGATAAGAGGAAGCTCTGGGCAGGGTGCCCGGGGCAGAGTGCCCGGGCTGGCTCACCTGCCCTTGGTGCCGATGCAGCACGGGCGGCCCTTGATCTGGCAGTCCATGTGCAAGAAGCCCGTGCGGTTGCTCTTGGCCTGCTCCGTGCAGATCTGCCGGGACGGACGCCGGGTTGGGCCCGGGCAGCGGCAGGCACCCCCTCCCTGCCCTTCCTAGACCATGCTCCACCCCGGACACTCACTGGCCACTTGGTGATGTCGTCGGGCCAGATGTGGGCGCCGCTAGAGGCTGGCTCCTCACAGGTTCTGGAGGCAGGGGTGAGAGGGGGCAAAATGAGGAGCTGTGCCCCACCCCCCAGCCTGCCACACTCCCCTCCAACATCCCTGCAAGGAGCCACGGGCAGGATACGCAAGGCCGTCTTCTCACGGGTGGCCCAGCGGTGGGCCACCCCGGGACCGTACCTGGGGTCCTGATGGCACACTGCCCCCGATGTCCGCCTCTGGCCCAGATCAGACTTGTCCATGGGGGGGCCCGTGTCATCCTGCCACTTGACAAAAGTGGCCAAAGTCTCCTGGAGGGTGGAGGAGGGTTGGTTACGCCTAGGCGAATGTCCCCGTGAGAGTGGGCAAGGGACCCTCCGGGACAGGGGCTCTTCCCCTCGTCCCCAGGGCTCAGACCCATCTCCCAGACCTCTACCCCCGGCTGACGTTCCCAAGACCTGGCTTCCGCTCCTCTGGGGAGGTCGGCACCCTCCCCGAGCTGGCCCGTGTACAGGGGTGTGTGGGGCCGGGAAGGAGGGAGGGGATGGTCCTCCAGGGGCCCTCCCCAAGGCTAGGGCAAGCGGAGGGCTGGCCCTACCGAGCAGTCTTTCCGCTGGGTCTGGATGCAGCCCGAGTGGTCGTTCTGGACACAGCAGCCCGAGTCCCGCTCAAGGTCTCGCTCCCGAAGCACCAGCTGGTCGATCTGCTGGTCCTTCCGGATGCAGGGCGAGAACTTGGCTCCCAGGTGGATCAAATCGATCTGGGGGAGGGCACAGAGTAAGCGTGGGCCCCGACCTGGCCACTCTGTCGAGTCTCCCCTGAGGGCCCCCTGACGAGGGGGGGGCCCCTGGGCAAGCCGACCCCCTGCCCAGCTGGAGGTGACAGGGCCCAAGGCCTTCCTGCTGCGGTACTGTCGCACCCGCCGGGCCCCTCACCGAGCTGGGGCCGATCCAGAAGTTCTCCTGCTGGATGTACTTCACGCTCTCATACACACCTTTGTTCCTGAGCACCTGGGGCAGAGGCAGAGGGAGGGGGGTCAGGGGGTTCCCCATGCCAGGGTAGGGCTGAGGGGTAAAGCTGTGGCGAGCCCAGAGCACCCTCCTGCACGGGCCAGGTTGTGGCCACGGGAGGGATTCGGTGCCCGATGACGCTTGATGCCTCTCGGGCGGGTGGGACCCCCGGAGCGGAGCACCCCTAACTTAGCCTGGCTCACCAGCTGGGTGGTGACGTGCTGGGCAAAGCCCACGGGTGCAATGCCATACGTGCAGATCACCAGCAGCGTGATGATGATGTGGACGAAGGTCAGCCAGTAGGTGAAGTAGGGCCTGGGGACACAGGCCTGGGGTCAGCGGAGCCGAACCCACATCACATCCCTCAGTCTATCGAGCCCAGCCCCCATCAGCTCCCCTTCTATTCCCCTCCAACTCCTCCTTCGTCACAGTGACATCACAGCCCCTACAGGGGGCGCCTGGGTGGGTCAGTCAGTTAAGCGTCCGACTTCAGCTCGGGTCAGATCTCATGGTTCGTGAGTTCGAGCCCCGCATCGGGCTCTCTGCTATCAGCACGGGTCCTCTGTATCCCTCTGCCCCTCCCCCACTTGCGCTCACACTCTCTCTCTCTCTCTCTCAAAAATAAATACGCGTTAAAAAAAAAAATGCACTCCGACATGTGTCTCCCTGATTAAAACCCTTAGATGGCTTCCTGCCACCTTGGAATTAAGTCCAACATCGCCCCCTCCTGCTGGCTGCAAGGCCTTACTGTGCCCACCCACATTCTTCTCTTACAGTTCCTGGAACAAACCACAATCCTCGCGGCCCCAGGGCCTTTGCACACGGTGCCTCTTTTGTCAGAAATGCTCTTCACATCTCTCTTTACCCGGCTAACTCCTGCTCACGCTGGCTGCACCCCTCCTCACCAGTTCACTCTCATTCTCCGTCCTCCTTGGGACGCTTGCTATCCTCGTTATTACTTATTTATAATCGGGGTTTAATGTCCATCAGGTCACTGCCCATCGCACACTGGGAGGACTGCCCTCCTCCAATCCTCTAATTCCCCCCAAGGTCTCTGCACATCCTGCCCCACGCTCCCCTCACTCATAGCCCAAGGTTCTGACCGTCCCTCTGGCCCAGCGTGCCCTCCCGGTCTCTCCTGTCGGAGCTGTTCTGGGGCCAGTGGGGGATAGCACTCAACGCACGCTCGTCGACTCACTGCTGTCGGGAGCCAGGCTGAGGACACAGGCCAAGGAAGCAGGGAGGGTGAAGAGGCAGCAAAGCGCCTGGGGACCCCTCCCAGGTGACGCACATGGTCGCAGGGCAACCCCGGGGACTCGTCCCTGCTTCCCTCACCCGCAGGGGGTGCTCGCCAAATGCCGGCTCGGTGAGTAAGGGGGCTGCTGCAGGCAAGGGTCCTGGGGAAGCCGGAAGCTCCCAGGCCTCCCGGGGTGGCCCTCGGCCCTCCTGCCCTCTGCCTGCACCTGAGGGCGGGGACGCCGCCCACAACGCCCGGAGCCGGCCGCCTCGCGGCTCACCGGTGGCTGTCGAAGCTCTCCAGCTGGCGCTGCACAGTGCTGCTGATGCTGCGGCGGTAGCTACGGTTCAGCCAGTTGCCCACCACGCCCAGGCCGTAGTGCCGCCTCTTGCGGTCAAAGGCAAAGTGCTTCACCGTGGAGGCGAGGCGCCTGCTGCGCCTGGCCCCGGGCGGCGCCGGGGCTCGGCCGGAGTCCTTCCTGGTGGAGGAGGGCTCTCAGCCGGCTGCCCCTTCCCCGCACATCCCAGAAGGGGGCCCGGGAGGGACCCGCTGCGGGCTGGGGGAGCCCTTCCCCACCGCACCACTTCCCTCCGCTTGGAGGAAGGCTGCCCAGAACTCACAGAGGGACCTGCACCCCATCGGGGGAGACCGGGGAGGCCGAGCGTGGGATCCCCCGGAAGTAGCTGGCAGAGAGCGGGGGAGACTCAAACACATCGTCGGGCATGGAGCTCATTTCTTCCTGGGGTGGGGTGGAGCGGGGGACACAAAGAAAGACAGCGTGAGGAGTCACTGTCCCAAATACTGCTCCCGACAGCTCAATTCAAGGACAGAACAGAGCGGGACAGGCTCTTGGGGAGGGAGGTGCAGGGCATGTGCCTGGGAGCCCTCATGATTTCCCCGTTGGCACCTGCCCCGCCAGGTCCCTGACGGAGAGACAGGGGCCCGGGAGCTCCGCAAGGCAGCATATCCCTCCAACCAGGGGGCCCTTGGATCTGTCAGGGGCTCCTGGCAGCACATGATCAAGGCCAGGTCACCAGTCCTAACTCCCAGGCCACCCCGTACCCTCTTCCCGAGGCCCACACCCCATGCTTGCCTTACTAAAAAATGAGGAGTCGAATGTGTCTGCCCCATCGACCACGTCCTCCTCCAGGAAGCTGGGGTAGGCAAAGCTGCGTTTGATCACCCGGCACCGCTGTCCCGTGGCATCCAACACGGAGCGCCCCTGTGACAGGGCAGAGGCCCGGGCATCAGGCCCCCGCTCCAAAGGGACTGTCAAGCCCATCCTCCCCGGGCAGGGCGTGGTCAGAGACAGGGCACCATCTTCCATAGCCCTAAACATAGCGCTCTCTCCGCAGTTGGCCGTTTTTCCTCCCTGCTGACGTCCTGCCCTCTGACTTGGGCAGCTAGCTCGCCACCATTCGTTCCGCACCCTTACTCCCAAAACTCGGGCCATCTCCCCCAGCCCCAGCTCCGCGGCATGACACACCGTGCCCCTGCCCCCCTCTCTGACCCCCACGTGCCATGCCCCCTCCTACCCCTGGGCCTCTGCGTGGGCCCTTCCCTCTGCTGAGAAACCTATTCCTCTCCTGGGGAACTTCTCCTTATTTTTCTGGGCTCAGCTCAAGTGGCTTCCCTGACATGAGCGCCTCTCCTGCACCGACCCCGGCACTTATCACACTGACTAGTGACAACTGCCCTCTCGGGCCTGGGGGCTCTCCCAGGGCAGGGACACTGGCTCCTGTCACTCTGCAGCCCCCGTGCCCAGCACATCATAGGGGCCGAGTAAACTCGGGTGAACTGACTGCACATTTCACTTCCGACTTGCCCGGCCCGTGTCGGTGCAGAACCCGGCTTCCCAAACCCTGGAGCTCTGGGGCTGGAAGGCCATGGGCCAGGCCCCGGGCCTCTCTGCCGGGTAACTTCATGCATCCGCTGCCCTTGGCACAGAGGGATGCGCCCAGGTGAGCTCTTGGGGGACGCTCTGGGGGGACAGAGAGGGAGGGAGGGGCGGCGGGGGCCGGGCAGAGGCATCTTCACCTTGAGGAGGGCGGCGGCAGCCTGAAAGCTCATGTGGGCCACAGACATCCTCTTGCGGCGGGGCAGGTGGGAGTAGCCAGAGCGGACGCTGGTGAAGGATGTGAGGGACAGGACCCCGGGGGTCAGGGGCGGGTGTGGGGCATGGGGCCTGTCCACCTCGTCAGGGTGGCGGAACGCCCGTCCTCGGGCCAGTGGATCCACAATCTGGAAGAGAGGGAGGGAGGGAGGGAGGGAGGGAGGGAGGGAGCAGGTCGGGCCCCTGGGCTCCGACCCCTGCCACTGCCGCCGCCCCTCCCTCCCCCCCAAACCCACCTTGGGCATCTTGCAGGGTTTTGGAGACTCGGTGCCCTGGAAGGACGGCACCTCCTGGCTGGGGAGCTCCAGGTCCCGCTGGCACGAGGCCTTGAGGCGGCCGTAGCGCACGCTGCAGTGGTGCAGGCTCCTGCGTTGCCAATGCTGCCGCTTCACCTCCCAGTCGCCGCTGACCCCGAACCACTGGGCTGTGCCCCTGCGGGAGCCGAGAGCGCCGCGGGGGTGGGCACGCCGCGGGGACGAAGACCAAAGCGGGCCAGGGCACGTGCAGGGGGGACGCAGGGGGGCAGGGTGCCGTGCACTTGTGTCCAGGGGAGGGGACGTGGGAGGTGACAGCGTGTGTGGGCAGGGGACGACAGGCGATAAGACACGTGTGTGTGCAGTGGAGGGGGACAGATCGGCTCCCCGCTTTTGCCCCTGGGTTGGTACCCAATGACCAGCTAAAAGGGGTGGGCAGGTCTCCCGGAGTCACTCTGTGGGCCGGTGCCTCCCCCCCCAGCCCCGCTCCTTGACCCACCCCGCAGGCTCCACCCTGTGACTTTCTACAAGGCACACATCGCCCTTGGGCCTCAGTCTCCCCCCCGGAACACGGTGTTAACGGATTCTCACGTTCCAGCCCTGCAGGGAGGGCCGCACATTAAGGCCTTCCCGCTCCTTCTAGGAAGGGGACCCAGGGGCCAGGCCCGGAGAAGGTCTGTAGGGCTGCCGGGGACGGGGGGCGGGAAGGGTGCTCACTTTCGAATGCTCTGGGACAGGGAGGCCTGGCGGCGGAAGCCTGGGCGCTTGTCTGAGCTGCCCTCCTGCCATCGTCCCCGTGGCTCCTGGAGGCTGACACTCTTCACGTAGGCTGGGTTCCTGGGCCTCTGTGGGAGGACAGGCTGGGACTCGGTGGAGCCCAGAGCCCGGGCTGGCTCTTTTTTGGCTCCCTACATGAGAGCACGGAGAACAAGCCTCACCCCCAATTTACACGCCCTGAGCTGCTTTCCTTCCAAATGTAAAGTCACCATCTTTTAACTCTTCAGTGACCCCCAGCGTGATTTCCTAGCTCCTGGTTCCCTGTAGGAGGAAGAGCCCCCCGGGGTGAGTGGGTGGCACCAACACAGCACCCCTTTATGCCCCAGGACACTGTTTCAAGCCTGCTCTCAATGAGCCCTTTATGGAGCGCTGGTCCAGGCTGTTGGAAACGTTGCTCATTTCCATTCTCCACGGGAGCCAGGCGCCGCGGGGTCAGGCTGCTGATGCCCAGCGCGGGGGGCCCCTTCCCCCAAGTGTGACAGCCCTCGCCCCTGGGCGGGGTGGTGTGGCAGGGCCTAGACAGAAAGGGAAACAGCCAGTCCCGGGTGGAAACCGGGAGGCTTTCTCAGGACCGCACTTCCCACCGGGAGACCCACAGCGATCACCGGGAGACCCGGCACCTGCGCTCGGGGCCCGCTCACTGTGACATCTGGAAAGGCAGGAGGGGGGCACAGGCCTAAGTCAGGGGCTACACAGGCAGCTGGGGCTCAGGCAGAAGGGGCCTCCTCCGCCCGAACAGTGCTGTGTGGGCACGGCTGTTGTCTGGGGCAGGGCGGCGAGCCTCCAGGGGGCCCCCTCACCTGTCCCTTTACCTGGGGCAGCATGCTGGCCTGCTCGCCAGGGGCCGCGGTCTCGGGTGGAGGGATGGTGATGGACAGATTGGGCGGCTTCCGGCTCTGCAGGCGGCTGCTGGACACGGAGGAGACGCTCTCGCCATTCTTGCCAGCGGAGGCCATGGCGGGCAGGGGGGCAGCGCGGCTGGAGTGGAAACAGGGAGGGGGGCACGAGTGTGTCGAGAGGTGGCAAGACGGGAGGGGGCCGGGGGACCTTGGTGCCAGGGCAGGTGGCCCAGGTCAGGCCTAACTAACTCTGGGGTCTAAACCTCGCAACAAGAGACCGAATCTGACCTGGGTGGGGTATTATTGCAAGAAGGTCTATTTCCGTCCTTCGTTTGCATTCCAGGCCGGCAGGGGCCTGAGAAATCCCCACCTTTCCACCTCCTCCCACTGCAGGACCACACCCAGAAAGGAGCCTGAGGGCAAAGGACTGAGCTGCCAGGTGACCTTGGCCGCCTTGTCAGCCTGGTCAAAGTAGGCCAGGGGCCAGAGGGCAGCTTCTTGGGACCCAGAGCCCTGCCTTTGATCTCGGGGCAGGGCCTGGGGGAGGACCAGGAGAAGGCTCCGGGGCCACCCGGTGCGCTGGCCACAAAGAAGAGGTCCACAGCTGTGCGGGGAGCAGGTGCTTTCTGGGTTTCTAGCAAGGAAGTGGCTGCTCAGCCTGATTGCAGATAGAGAGAAAGCCACCATGCTGGTTCCTGTCCCCTGGGCTGCCTGGTTCCTTTTTCAAAGGTAACTGAAATTGCCACCTGTCTGGTACTTCTCTCTTTTCATGGAGGAAAAACGCTATATCCCAACCATAAAAGTGACATGTGCTCAGACCCAGAAGACCTATAAAGCAGAAAGTGAGCTCATGGCCTGCCTGTCACCCCATCTGCCACCAAACAGCCTCTTTGCAGCTGGAAAAGGACACACATACTTGGGTTCTACACACGCTCCTGCCACAACTTTTCTTCCAGAGTGTGTGCATCTATCTTGTCCCATCAATGCACACAGAGCTACCCTATTTTTCTTTTTTTTAATGTTTATTTATTCTTGAGAGACGGACAGAGACAGTGTGAGTGGGGGAGGAGCAGAGAGAGAGGGAGACACAGAATCTGAAGCAGGCTCCAGGCTCAGGCTCTGAGCTGTCCCCACTGAACCTGACGCGGGGCGGGGCTCGAACTCACAAACCGCGAGATCATGACCTGAGCTGAAGTTGGACGCCTAACCGACTGAGCCACCCAGATGTCCCCTATTTTTCTTTTCTTAAAAAATGTTTATCTATTTGAAAGACAGTGGGGGGTGGGGTGGGGCACAGAGAGAGGGAGATAGAGAATCCCCGAGCAGGATCAGCGCAGAGCCCGACATGGGGCTTGAACTCACGAACCGTGAGATCACGACCGAGCCGAAATCGAGAGCCGGTCACACTTAACCCACTGAGCCACACCAGCGCCCCTAGATTTCATTGAGTGACTACCAAGATTTCATTGAGTGGAACATACCAAGATTAAACCAATTCCAGACTGATGGCAGCTGAGGGTGTTTCCGGCATTTTGGACTCGTGCCTGGTGCTCACCGACACCCCTGCCTAGACCCAGACCGGGTCCTTGTCCCAGCACTAACCCCCAAACTTCTAGAAGTGGAGTTGCTGGGTTGAAGAGTAAGTTCATCCTGAATCTCAATGGATCTTGGGAAGCGGCCTTGCCAGAAGGAGGTGGCAATTTACTGACTCCGCCCCGATCTGGGGCTTTTCTGCTCTCACTCCGGTCGCCAGACCCCACTTCCCCTTTGACTCCACCAGAATCCAGGCCCTCTGCCTGTTCTATTCCCTTCCTTTCATCCCTCACTCTGGCCTTCTTGTGGCTAAAATCTGCGCCTACTTTCTCTCCCCACTTCCCGAAGCTGCTGGAGCGGGTTTGGTTTCTCCTCCCCTCCTGCGAGGCCAGGGGCGCCACATCCACCTGCTGATACAGCGCGGCGGACCCCGGGCTGTGCACGGACGCAGGGAGTCACACGGGAGCCTTCCGGGTAAGGGCATGTGGGGCCGACGTGTGACAGAGGGTGACAGCAGCCACGTTTGTCCCGAGTCTGTCCGTCCCCTCCATCTCTGCCTGGCCTCACCAAAGCTACCGTCTTCTCTCACCCGAAGGACCACAGGCGGCCTCCCGAACAGTCCACCCGCCGCCCCTCGAGCCCCCACCCTCATGACCGTCCTCTACCTAACAACAAAAGTCACCTTTTAAAAGCACCAATCACACCACATCACTCTCTGCTCAACAGTGTCCCACGATTTCCCATTCTCCCTTAAAACGGAGTCCAAGCTTCTCACTGGGGCCTTTGAGCCCTGAGTGGCTTTGCCTCCTCTTTGCCCCCGACCCGGCCACTCTAGGCCCCCGACTGTCTCGCACCTGCTAAGCTCGGCTAGGGGCGCCGCGAGGGGTCACGGTCAAAAGCACGCTGCAGGTGGGTGGTTCTGGGCTTGACCTGCACAGAGGCCTGCACTTGACCACAGGTCACCCAAGCCCTCACCTTATAATGGGGGAAAGACCTCCCCCCAACCAAGAGAGGCGCCCTGGGCATCAGATGACAGAATGCACGACACACGCCCAGGCTGTGTGCGCACACAGAAACGTGGGCGGGAATGTTCACGGCAGCATATTCAGCAGGGCCCAAGGGTGCAAATGACCCCAATGCCCATCAACAGACAAACGGACCAACAGAAGGTCCCACATACACACAATGGAATGACTAGTCACAAACAGCAGGGCAGAGCTGACATGGTCCAGCAGGGATGAACTTTAAGGATGTTTACGCTAACCGAAAGAAGCCAGACACTAGGGACGCCTGGGTGGCGCAGTTGGTTAAGTGGTCGACTTGATTTCCGCTGAGGTCGTGATCTCATGGCTCTCATGGCTCTGTGCTGAATTAAATGTGAATTGTAGCTCAATGAAGCTGTTAAAAAAAAGTCTCAGGCAGGTGCTCCCCAAACGTCAGGCCTCTGCCTGCGCTGGTCCCTCCATCCCCACGTCAGATCATCACACGGTGGGACAGGTAGCTCCTTCCTCTCACTCTGGTTCCAGCCGGAGCACCGCCTCCTCCGAGGAGCCCCCCTTGACTGCCTGAAGCAGCCCCCTGGCCCTCCCCTCCCTTCAAGTCTCTCCGTCACTCTACCCGGGGTTGCCTCCCTCTCTCTCTGCCTTGTTCACTGCTGCGCCCCCACCTCCAGAGGAGTCCCGGCCGCAGACAGCATCAGTTCGTACATGTTGAAGAGCAAACAAATGAGCAAAGCAGTTGGTGCCTTGGGTCCAGCCCTGCCCTTCCCCCCACCCCCTGCTAACCGGGTTCCTACCTTCGGATCTGGGCTGAGCTCACAGCTTCCTGGGTCTTGTCGCAGGGGTCTTCAGAGCATGATCTAGTATGTTCTAGTCCTTCCCTCACTCTCTGCAGACGCTCTGGGGTCAAGTTTCAGCTGTGTGGGCAGGTGGACAGACGCAAAGGCAGCCGGTTCCAGGCCGAGCAGGGCAGCTCCTTAGGCGCGCGCAGTCTCTAAGGAAGGAAGGGCAGACTCAAGCAGGCGCGTTGGGACCAAGGACCTTTTAATCTTCCTGACCTCAGTCTCTGCATCTGTAAAATGGGGTAATCCCACCGGCCTCGTGGGTGAGGGGTTAAAGGATATGTTCTCGCCACCTGGAGTAAGAACCCCTCTTGGCGGTGAGCTGGGTGCTCAGACGGCCGGGCAGCCAGGGGGGTCCAGCCTCAGCCTCAGAGGGTTTGCCTAAAAAGCCACCTGCAAGCCCCCCCCCCCCGCTCTGGGCTAGGAACCCCAAATCAGGGTGGCCTCTACTTTATTTTTCCTGTTTCAACATAACTTCACTACACACGTTTAACTTAAACACAAAGTGCTGGCTGTCTTCTGATCATTTCCTTTCTTAAAAAAAAATTGTTTTTGGGGGGAGCACCTGGGTGGCTCAGTCAGTTGAGCACCCGACTTCGGCGCAGGTCGTGATCTCGCGGTTTGTGGGTTCGAGCCCCGCGTCGGGCTCCGTGCTGACAGCTCCGAGCCTGGAGCCTGTTTCGGATTCTGTGTCCCCCCTTTCTCTATGCCCCTCCCCCGCTCACGCTCTGTCTCTCTCAGAAGCGAATAAACATTTAAAAAATTTTTTTTAATGTTTATTTATTTTTGAGAGAGACAGAGCGTGAGCAGGGGAGGGACAGAGAGAGAGAGGGAGACGCAGAATCAGGAGCTGTCTCCAGGCCCTGAGCTGTCAGCACGGAGCCCGACATGGGGCTTGAACTCACAAACCGCGAGATCACGACCCAAGCCGAAGTCGGACGCTCAACTGACTGAACCACCCAGGCTCCCTTCAACATTTCCTCTCGATTAGAGTAAGGCAGGTATTTCAGACAGTGTTCAAACGATTCAGAAGTCGTATTTGTTCTTTTTTTTTTTTAGAACATTTTTAAAAATGTTTATTGAGAGAGAGAGAGAAAGAAAAAGAGGGAGACAGACCAAGCAGGTGCCACACTCAGCAGAGAGCCCAACGTAGGACTTGATCCCATGAACCGTGAGATCACGACCTGAGCTGAAATCAAGAGTCAGACGCTTAACCGACTGAGCCACCCAGATGCCCCACAAGTTGTGTTCATTCTTTAAATGATTTATCCAGGTCACATCCACACAACATAAGATCAAGCATCTGAAGAACTCTGTGATATTTCGCTCTAGGAGCTCCCGCACAGGACACACTCTGCAGCAGACCCTCGGGAAGCAGAACCCTGACAGCTACCAGAGGCAGGACACGTCAAGTATTCCCGTGCAACCAGGCCTGGCTTGGCCCTTCACACGCATTATCCCATTTTGTCCTCAAGACACCTTTCAAAACAGACATCTGCCATCGCTCCCCTTTTGTGGCTGGGAAGGGAGGAGGCTCAGAGGGGTTAAGTAACTTGCCCAAGCTCACACAGCCAGGAAGGGAACAGCTGGGTCTCTTTAAGAAACAGGAGCCACCCCCCACCCAGCCCAAAGCTAGAGCACACTGGGGGCTGGACGGCCCCCTATCAGGGTGACAGTGGAGTCCAGCCCAGAGGGAAATTATACTCAATAGCACTTAGACTCTGTTCCTCAGAGGCCCGGGGTTACCAAGAGGGGCCCAAGGGGCTGCCGTGGGGCCCACCAGAGGCTGGGGGCCCGTCTGCGCCCTCCCTCTGACTCCACGGGGCAACAAAGGCTTCCAACCATAGGAGGAACTTTGGGGGGGGGGGAGGAGTGGGTGCCAGAGGGGGTCCTGAGGAAGAGCTGGGGGCCCGGGATGTTTCTGCTTTGGGTTTGACCGACAGACTCAAGCATCCTTCTTTCTTCCGCAAAGTGCTGGGAGGCCCGACCCCACACCTCAGGGCAAACTGGCTGTGGACGATGAGGCCGCCCAGAGATCACGGGCAGATGGGCCTTAGCGTTGGGCCAGCTGGCTCCTCAGATCCCACTTCGCGTCTGCTCTGGGGACAGCTCCCAGACAACAGCCTCACCTGGGGCCCCTGCACGGAAAGTTCTCTAATTTAGTTTCCTTTGGGACCAGGGTGCAGTGAGAGGGCACCAGGCAGGCACTGTCCTGGGAAACTGGCACCAAGGAGGGAGGGAGGCAGGTGGTGGAAGAAGGCTGGGAGAATAGGGCTGCCGAGTCCAAGCTTGGGTGAGCTCATCAAGCATGTAGGATCCTTCTGGAACTCAGGGCTGGTCACACTTGCCTGGAGTAGATACCCAGGGCCCTTCAGAACCTGCCCCGACCCCCACCTGATACACCAGTGTCCCTGCAGATTCCCAAACCCCCACTTTCTTGTCTGAGGCCCTGCACCTCCCCTGGCTGCACAAGGCTCCACCTTGTCTGCCTGGGCGACGCCAGGTGAAATGTCACCTCCTCCAGGAAGTCTGCCCTGTCACCAGACAGAACCAACCACTTTCTCACTTGCCTCTCCTGGCATTCTGCAGAGATCTGCCCGTGCGTAGGCCTGGGCCCTGGGCAGAGGCAGGTCTGGGCAGAGGCAGGTCTGGAATAATCAGGCCCCTGCTAAGGGCTGATGGGATGGGAGGCAGGTGGGGGGGGGGGGGGGGCGCATGCATGGCTGCAGACTGTCAGTCCACATGGACCCTGGACCAAAACTACCTCCCCCCATCCTGCACCCAGCCCACTCTGGAAAGCTCCACAAAGTGCCCACTGCCCTGCTGTGGCTCTGTGACCAGATGCTGTCCCAGGATGAGCCCCCACTGGGTCCCCTGTTCCCCCCTCCCCAGCACAGCCCAGAGTCCCCAGCCTGGGACCCGCTGTGTTGCAGACCATCTGTGCCACTGTCTTGACAGAAATAAGGGCAGACACAACCTTGGGCGGTAGGACTGGGGAGACTGGACCGGCCCCAGGGCACTTCTGGGGGTCACAGGGAGAAGCGGCCTGGCCCTGGAGAACGGAGGCAGGGCTGCGCGCGTGCCTTCCTGGGGCGCAGCATGGTACCCAAGACCATTTTCACCATCTTCGTGGCCAAGGCCGCATCCTGGCCTGTAAAGAAACTTTACCCTCCCCCCTCTCCTTCACTGCTAAGCAAGGGAGTTGGACGAGGTGATGGCCCAGTATTGATGCCCACAAGGCCCACACATTTAGTACAAAACACCACTTTCCCACAGCCCCTCTCCACCATGGAGGGGTGAGCCTGCTCCTGAGACTGACCCCAAACTTGTGCAGAAGCACCAGAATCCCAGTTCCTTCCCGAGAGTGGCAGGGGGCAGAGGGTAGGGCCGGTAGTGTGGTGGGGTCATGGAGGAACCCAGACAGAAAGTGCTGGAGTTTTGGGAGCACCCCGCCCCACACGTCTCCCACGCCCCAGAAATGCCTGCTCACTGCAGAGGAAATTGTGACATCCTGGGACAGGGCTTCCTCCTGGCCCACAGTCACATCCGCTGCTCCAAGACCCCCTGGGTTGGTGCGGCGGCCAGCCTCCGGGTCGGGGCGGGGGGAGCGTGGAGAGTCTGAGAGCCTGTCCCACCCAGCGAGGCCAATGCCACCTGCCCAAGCTGGATCCTGGCCTCGCTGGGGCCCTCCCCCAGAAGGACCTTCAGCCCCTGCCCAGAGTAGTTGGAAGACTTCGAAGGGGCCTGGGTAGGGAGAGGGGACTGAGGGTGGAGTCCGTCCGTGGTGGGGTGGGGTGGGGCAGATCCAAAGAAAAAGTGAAGTGCACAGTTCAAATGACCCAGAGGGACCCAGGGGCTGACACTCTGTCACCCCTGCACCACGCCCACAACCAGTGGTGTGACCCAGCTGCCGGCAGCCAGGCGCACATGACAGAAATGCAGACTCAGAAAGCACTCAGTGATGCCCACAGAAAACCCGGTTTCCTCACAAAGGGTGGGGCTGGGCACTACCAGCTAAGCCCTATCCCGACAGTCACAGCCCGGCCTCGGCCGGAGAGGTCCCCTGCCCGAGATCTGGCAGCGCACATCCAGACGGGGCGCTGGAGGGGCCCCCAATCCCCTCCCCACCTGCCTGTCACCGATGCACCCTAGCAGGTTTCTGAATGCTCCCCTGGTCTTGCCCATGGTGGACGGGGTCTCCGGAATCCCCAGCCTCTGAGGACTTCACGACCCAGGGCAGGGAATGAGCCGTGGCAGCTGACATCAGTGCTTAGCCTGCGTGTGGCCAGAACTAGGGACCAAGGGGAGGGAGGGAGGGACTCGGGCAAGGGGCAAGCATGCCCTCTGGTAGAGGACAGAGGGAAACCACTACCAGCCACCAGATCGGATCAGGAAGTTCAGGGGACCTCCTGGGGGGGGGGCGGGGCGGCACAGGTCCCCTGAACCGAGGAAATAAAGAAACCGCCACTTGGCCATGGTGGGTGAGTGGGCCACGGGAGGTCCAGAAGGAAGGGAGGCGGCTCGGGGCTGCGGGGAACCTGTCTGTCCCCTGATGAATCACAGGATGACAGGATGAGGGCCAGGGGCAAGGAAGTGGCCTCTCTCCCCTGTTTCCCTGCCATAGAAACTGAAACCGGCCTGTCCCTCCGCCACAGCCCTTCTGGGAACCAGGTCGTTTTTAGAAAGCTGCGAAGAGGAAGCTGGCCCTCACCCACTGTGCAACCCCCAGGCAAACCCTGGCTTCTGCTGACCTCGGGAGGTTGCTCCAGCTTTCGGGGGGGGGGGGGGCAGGCGCTTATGTAAAGGCGGTCGTTTGTCTAACCCGTCTCCCTACGGGCTTCCTGATGGCCAGTGACTCACCCGCGCACCTCCCTGCCCTGCTGAGTGGGGCCGGGAGCAAAGGCCGGGAAAGTGCAGAGGCGACTCTGAGGGCCAGGGATCAGGACTTAGGAAGGCAAAGGACGCGGGGAGACGGACAGGGAAGGGACCACCACGTCCCCCTTGGAAGCTTTGAACTCCAAGTCACTCCCCGGTCAGAGTTAGAGAAGCCAGCAGGAAGTGTCCGCGGGCCTCTCCATCCCTTCCGGCCAGCACCCACTTCCCCACTACACTGGCACCTGTGCTCAGCCCAGCCTCACCCTGCCCTGCACAGGGAGAGGCTGCACCCACAGAGGACCCCGGCCCAGAGAGCCCCCATGTCTTCACCCCCACACCTTTAGGGGCTTTGCTCACACTCAGTTCAGAAGGTAAAGAATGGAGAGGAGGGGGCACAGTCAGGGGCTCGAGGACCTGCTGGCTTGTCCCCACTGTCCCCACCAGACCCCAGGTTCTGGATTCCCCTTGACCCAGTTAGAGTGGCTTAGGTAGCAGGGCCGACCACAGACCCAGGAAGCGGGCCCCGGGCTCCAGGCTGAGGCTGTGAGCCTGTGGGAGTCCGGGGTGGGGAGGCCAAGTTCTTAGAGCGCCGCAGACCCCGACGCCCCTTTGTAGTACGCATCAGCTTTCTCAGGACCGCGTGCCAGCGGGGCGGGCGGAGATGTGAAGGCCCCGTCCTCTGTGGGGGCCCTGGGCCCAGGAAACTGGCTAAGCTGGATGCAGCAGCCTCTGGCAACATGCAGCATCAATGCCGCCACGTGTCCCCAGCTGGACACAGTGCTGGGCCCTGCCCTCCAAGGTGCCCTCTGGGACTTTCTGGACTCCAGAAGCTGCTCGTAGAAGCACACGAGGGGACAGCAGCTGAGCAGGGATGCACGTGCCCTTCCACACCCCAGGAAAGCAGCAGCTCCCAGAGCCTAGGGGCCAAGTGCAGCTTGGGGACAACAGAAGAAAGGGAGCCCGTCCTGGGGTGCTCTGCCCAACGGCCCAGCCTCCTCTGGGAAGGTGACACGTTCTGTCCCAGTTCTGTTACTCCCTGAGCATCACAGTGAAGAAGGCAGGAGGCAGGGGGGCTAGGCAGCTGGGTGGCTCAGTTGGCTGAGTGCCGGTTGAGCTCAGGTCGTGCAGTTTGAGCCCCACATCGGGCTCACTGTATTGAAGCTGAGGTCGGCACACGTGGAGCCCACGTCAGGTCCTCTGTCCCTCTCTCTCTGCCCCTGTCCTGCTTGCTCTCTCTCTCTCAAACATAAACTTTACCTATCTAAAAAAATTGTTTTGTAATGTTCATTTTTGAGAGAGAGGGAGGCACAGAATTCAAAACAGGCTCCAGGCTCTGAGTTGTCAGCACAGAGCCCGACGTGGGGATCGAACCCACAAACTGTGAGAACCTGAGCCAAAGTTGGCCGCTTAACAGACTGAACCACTCAGGTGCCCCCAAAATAAATAAACTTAAAAAAAAAAAAAAAAAAAAAAAAAAGGAAGTGGCATCGGGGGTCCAGAGGCCCTGACTCTTTCTGGGCCAGATACCGGGGCAGAAGAGGCTCCTAGAAAGGGAGGACACAACGCTGGAAGCCATGTTGACCCGAGCTTGGTGCGGACTGGGCTTTGCTCCAAACAGGCAAGAGGATCTGTCTCTCTTAGGATCCTGCCGTGCTGGGAATTGGTTTTTGTTGTGTTTTCAAGTTTATAATTATTATAATTTCATAATCTCTGCATCCAACGTGGGGCTGGAACTCACAACCTCGAGATCAAGAGCCAACCCTTGAACCAACCCAGCCGGGTGCCCCTGGCAGTTGGGTTTTCACTGGCTGAGGCCCAGCCCATGCTCAGTGGTTGGGGGAAGGATGGGGTCCAACATCGGTTGGGGAGCGGGGCGGGCCTACTTCACCCCTGCTGGAAGCTCCCTGACACCGAGGGGTGACCAGACTGTTTCCAGACAGGCCCACACTCAGTACACAGAGCAGGGCTCTGTCTTGAGTTTGCAAGGGTGGGGTCCACCTACTTTCCACCCACCTCCTTGTGGCCTGGCTCCAGACGGTGAAAAGACGGTCCAACTGGGGCACCTGGGAGGCTCCGTCGGTTAAGTGACTCTCGACCTTGGCGTAGGTCATGATGTCACGATTCATAGGTTCAAGCCCCAGCTCAGAGCCTACTTGGGATTCTGTCTCTCCCTCTGCCCCTTCCCCCCTTTCTCTCTCGTACGCTGTCTCTCAAAAGAAAAAAACAAACACTGTCCAACTGGGGGAGACAGGGGCCCAGCCCTAAATGCTGTGTGCTGCAGGCAAGCCACTTCACATCTCTGACCCTAGTCTGTTTATGCATAGCCTCCTTCATAGAGTCTGAAATCTAGGTGGCTTTGTCACCATTAGCCAGGGCTCACTTGGGTGGACATTCAGCAGAGGGACAAAGGCTTACCATAGTTTATGGAGAGGTAAGCACCTTGCCCACGACCACTCAGCCGGAAGTCAGGCCCTGGGCTGTCCTGGGTCCCCCTCACTTCTGGAGGCCCAGGCCGGCCCCACGGCTGGGAGGGAGCATGCCAGGCAAACAGTTTTCAGCTTGTAAACAGTCATTAAGGAGCTAATAAACCTGACTTCCCAGAACCCTGCCCTGGAGCTTGCTGCTTCCCTCCAAGGGGCTGGTCCCAGCCCCAATGGCTGCTAGACCTTCAGGGTCCTTGGACCCGGGCTCATCCGGGCCATTCGGACAGGGGAATGTGGGGATTTGTAAACCCTACTCACCGAAGTCCCTGCGTCACTTTGGGGCAGCATGGATTCTCCTGTTGAGGAATGAGGAGGGCTGCGGGGACGACAGAGACAGGACTCAAACCCTGGCCTGGCCACCTACTTGCTGGGAGACTTTGAGCAATTTGCCAGAGGAAACTGAGCCTCGGTTTCCTCTGCTGTGAAATGGGGGGATGCCTCCCCCATCCAACAGAGAGGACATGAGATTATGAATGCACAGAACCCAGGCCGCTATCGCTGGCCAGTGATTGGTAGCTTCTTTTATTCCTGGTTGACCACGGCTCACTTGGGTCCCTACATCTGAGCCAAGAGCCCCAGTGGCAACAGATCTCTATTTGACAGGTGGGGAAACTGAGGCTCAGAGAAGTCAAGTCACCTGTCCAAGGCCCCAGAGTTAGGGGGTAGTGATGCCTCTTGCCACCCAGGCACTGGTGAGGCAAAGCGGCCAAAAAATGGGCCTGGGGTGGTGACCGAGTGGTCCATGGGCTGGGGGCGAGTGTAGGTGTGGGCCACTGAGACTCAGCAGTCCCTCCCAGCAGCCCCTAGGCAGAAATGACATCACCTGGCACTTAGGTAGTGCTTCTCAGCTTATCACAGGGTTTTCTCAAACATTCTCTCACACTGCCCTTATCTCATCATCACCAGTGAGATCAAGGGCTCAGGCCAGATTTTAGTGCCAAGTTCTGCTCTGGCCCCATCCCACAGCGGGTCCCCCACCTCCTGTCTCAGGCCTTCTGGGGGCCACCCTGGAGAGGGCCATCCGGAGAGGACAAAGATGCTTCCTGCGGTCCGGCAGGGGCGGGACCCCCCGAGGATGCTCTTGGCACAGGCTGTGGGGCCGCACGTGGGAGGTAGAGGAGGCAACCAAGGCTCTGAATGGCTTACCCCGTTCCTGGCCCCAAGAGTCCGGCCGGAGGGAGCAGAGCTGAGGGTCACCGCCGCCATGACCCCCTCGCCCCCCCATCACAAAAGCTGGGGGGGGGGGGGTGGGGCAGGGAAAAGCCCCGGCTGGGAGAAGCCAACAGTTCCTGGTCTGAGACTCCACTCCCACTTGGAAACCCACCCTCCCGTCCCCTCTTCCCTCCGCCTCTCGGAGCTGAGGTTCCCCACCCCGGATCAGCCGCCCTACAGAGTAATTCTAGCACTGCTCCCCAGCATGTTCTTATCGAGTCCTCCCCAGAGCCCACGAGGCAAGGCCCCTGTCGTCCCCACGGGCCTGTGCCAAGGGCCACAGACACGCTCCTAACAGCAGGCGTGATGCCACTATCGTGGCAGCTCCTACCTCAGGCTCCCGGCCCCCAAGGCTTCACGTGCAACACCACTGGAATCCTCCCGGCAACTCGTCCCGAGGCTCTACTGTTACCCCACTGTATAGCTGAAGAAACTGAGGCACGGGCTCTAAGTGACCCTCATCCTACCGACCACTATCTCGTAGGCCACTGTGCCCGCCAGCTTCTGGGCCTTGCTTCTTGGCTCCCCGCGCTGGGAATCCCCCCCCTACCGCCCTCCCACCCTCCTGGCCGGCATCCCTGACTGGCACTGCCCACTTAGCTCCGACCATTTTCCTAGCACCCCGCCCCCACAACATGCCTTCTGGCAGCGTCTGAACGGCAGACAAATGACTTGTGTCTGGGTCCCCGGGTAAGCGCACACAGTGACGGAATGTGGACGCAGCGCTCCTACTTCCCTGAAGACGAGGTGATGAATTCTTATCTACGCACCTCCAACTCCCATTAGGGAAGCAACAGTAACTTTATGGGCTGGGTGCGAAAAGCCCTTGTTTCCCCCCAGTGACGGGACAGGTGGGGCCACGTGCCCTGGCCTGTATCCTCGGAGCTGGCTTCACCCGGTCGCCTTCCCAGCCCAGCCACCACGGGTGAGTTTGGCCTGCACTCCCAGTGGCCACTGACGTCCCCGCCAGTCCTCCCCGCAGCCTGGCTCAGCTGGATGGGAACCCGGGAGCAAACGGGTGAGCTCACTCCGGAAATCCCCGAGGGTGGCCAGGGTAACACGGCTCCAAAGTGGGTGGTACAGGCCGGAGGGGATGTGCAGAGATGGGGGGGGCGGGGGGAGGCAGCCCAGAGAGCACCTCTCCCCAGATGCCGCACCGCGAGGCAGGCGGGAGGCTGGGGCCCCCCCGATGCTGCTACCACTCGTCCTGAACCAAAAAGAAGTGGCAGGTGGCTCGCTGAAGTCACCTGGGCAGGAGCAGGTACGGGCATGCACAGACACACCCCCTCGGCGTCTTCCTGCTCTTATCTGCCGTCTCATCGGGCACAGTCTGTTGTAGGTTGACGGGAACCCTCTGAAGGGCTCCAGCCACCGGTAAAAACACCACCACCGACGAAGAGCCAGGCTCAGACCCCGGTTGGCCTCTACAAGGTATTTGTGCCGCGGTTAATTCCTCCTCTGAGAAGAACAGAAGCGCCCTCCTGGGCAATGTGGGTCTGTGCGTGTGTGGGATACCACGGAGACCTACAGCTCACAAATGAGCGAACCAGATAGGAGTCAGCTGGCAGTTTACCAGCAGGTGGCACAGGGTTTTGGGGCTGGGCCTGGGAACCGTGGCCCAGGTTCAATATCAGGCTCTACTGCTTAATTCCTGAGCAGCTTTGCACAAGTCTTGAATGCTGCTTTGTGCCACGAGAGACACTAAAGACAGAGGCCCCTGTTCCGGGGTTTTCGATCAACAAAAAGACGGCAGTGCCACTCCAGCCCTTTGAAGTTTAAAAGCAAAACAGCCGACAACAACAAAAAACAAAACCCACCAAGAAAACCCCCCAGAAACTGCCACCTGCCCTCTTGCCCTGCCAGAGTTCTGGGGTGGGGGGGGGGGGGGCCAGGAGGCCAGGGTCCAGAAGTGAACAGAACGTGGACAATGGACACTGTCAGGAAATGGGAAGGGCAGTGGAGTGGCCCGGGCTCCTGGGCAGGGACAGTGTCTTCATTCCATCCTTCTAGGACAGCCCCCCCCCCCCCGCCCCAGCCCCTGAGAACTGAGCCAACATTTCTGAGCCCCATTCAAAGGACTCGTCCCTACTGGGGTTCCCCTGTCCTGCCCCTTGGCTAACATCAGGAGCAGGGGCTGCCTCGCTCTGCCAGCTGGGGGACCCACCCTGGGGCCTCTCGTCTAACCCAGGGTTCCCATAAGCCACAGAGGACCTTTTTATTGCCAGAGGGAAGCAGATTGGAGAGCCACGAGGAACTAGAAGCCTGTCAGTCCTTGGATGTTATTTTCCTGGTGTAAATAACCAGAAGAGTCAGGTGTCAGGTTAGAAGGGAAAATTCCAGCAGGTCACATGGCATCAGGCGCCCATGCCTGTCTCAGCAATCCAGCTTTGGGAAAATCTATGAGAACAGAGGTGTCCCCATTCCCTCTCCCCCCACCAGGGGGATATTTGAGCTGGAGGGCTGTCCTGGCTCACCCTGCAGGGGAGGCTGCCTTAGGGGTGAAGCACTCCAGGACTGAGCCTTGAGAGGGCCCTGTGCCCAGCCCCTGGGACTCAGCTCCTCCCCCACAGCACCCAGACCTGCTTCCTGCAGGGCCCCCGCTTTGAGCAGGGAAGAGGCAGGCTGATGGCACCAAAGGAAGTCCTGTTGCTGGGGGAATAAGTTGCCCTCACAACTTAAGTTTACTCTGTTCTTCTAACCCCTGGGGAAACTGAGGCAAGCAGGGGCAGTCCAGAAGTAACTTGACGGGCCAGGTGCGGCTCCAGGGTCTTTCAACCTCAGCGCAGCAGTGACATTTTGAGCTGGTTAATTCTCTGTGGTGGGAAGCTGCCCTGTGCACCGTAAGACGTTTTTAGCAGCATCCCTGGCCTGTACCCACCAGATGCCAGTGGTAACACTCCCCTCCTTCTCCTGAGTTGTGACAACCAAAATGTCTCCAGACATGATCAAGTATCTCCTGGCACCAAAAATCAGTCCCCTGCTTGCCCCTCTGCCCTCCCTACGAAGTGGCAGGAACACAGAGGCTGGGCTCATCTTTTTACCAGCAAATGTCACCAACGCGGGGTCCTAAATTATTTGGGAACCAGAAGCCAGTTCACGTGTGGGGTCATCTGGCAAGTCTTCCCCCCCCCCCCCCCCCGGCCCCCTTTAGCCTTTCACCCAGTTAGGCAGGGGCTGAGACCTCAGCTTCCCCTCTGCCCTGGGATGGGAGAGTATGTCTAGCAGACATAATCCTTTCTAACCCGCACCTAACCCAAGGCCCTTGGAGCAACAGAGGAGACTGCTGGGTCCAATTTCTGAGCTCCGACCTAAACTTGCTGTGAGTCCACTCTCCCGCACCTGTTTCCACCCTGGCGAGGCTGAAAGCGGCCAGGCGGCGGCCCGCTGCTCGTCCAGGAAGAGAAAGGGGAGGGAAGGGTCTGAGTTCCAGGAGCTTCTGAAACGAAGGCGAGACTGCGCGGTCCCGTACCCAGACAGTCCCCTCTCTTCCTCCCGGGGGCTTTACACTTCTGCTCAATCGTCGTGCCCCCTACATCTGGTGACCCGTGGCCAAGGGACCTCTTAGGCGTCTCGCCCCATCCGAACCCCAGGGACCGGCAGCCCGGGTCCAGCAGCCCCGTCCGAGCCCAGCCCCGGCCTCGAGCCTCGGGCGCGGCCCACGTGGGGCCCGAGCGCTCCGCAGGTCGGGCGCCCTCGCGGGCCCCGCACAGCAGCTCCAGGCCGGGCCCGCGCCGGACCCCGCGGACCCCTCTGACGCCTGCGGCCCGGCCGCCGCGTGCCGAGCTCCGCCCTTCACCCCGAGCTCACCTCCCTGCGG